GACTCCAAAGTTTATCATTGTCTCCAAATGCTTGGCTGGTTTATGCAAATTTTTAATTTAATTTTTAATTAAATGGACCCATAATCTGAAGAAAAATACTTTCCTTTTCTTTTCTTCTGTTTTACTTTCTTTTTTTTTTTTTTTTTTTTTTGGTGTGTGTTTTTGTTTTTTTTTGTTTTATTTTCTTTCCACACAGTGGATATTTCCTTTAGGGGAAAAACAGCTTTTGCTGAAAGAAAGAATAACTAAGGTGCAGAGAGATCAGTATTGAAAATGCACAAAAGACATTTTAATATGAGATTCCATATCAGATACACATTGAGAAAGCAGTAATTACTTATATTTCTGTGTAATGACAAACATGGAAGAGACATAATGACTTTGAGGGTTTTTCAGTGTCAGTTCCTAAAAATACTATAGGAGTCATAAACACAACCTACAAGCAGCCTTCTTCATCTGTCTGACAATTTGCAAACTCCCAAGGGATTTCTGATGATGTTATGCCCCAAGCTGTTGATCATCATCCTGGTATGAATCAGATCAGCTCATTAGAAAAGGCCCATAATCCAGGGGGGGGCACAAAAATGTGGGATAAGATCATTTATTTTGACAGAAATATGGAATTTACATCTGTTGTTAAGATGATGTCAACAAAACCTCCTTCCATCTGAAGCAGGGGAAACAGGAGTGGAGAAGGCTGTTTGATTTATGTCAAAAATAATATATTTGCTGAAAAAATGCAATTTTAGAATCATTAGAATAAATAGGAATTCTGTTCAAACTGTCCAGATAATTCTGACCAAAATAAAACATATTTCTTTAAAAAAAAATTTTGTTTCTATATATTTTGGTGGAAATAGTTTGACTTTTCATTTGGAAACAACACATTTTATAATGCATCTTGGTTTTATTTTTTCATAGTATATTAAAAAAGCATAAAAATTAAGACGTTATCTAAGTTTTTCCACAACTGATTGCTTGGGGGATTTTTTGTTTAAAAGAGGAAAAGCAAGAACATTCAATTTTGAAGCAATAAGTGATTTTGGACTTATTTCCTCAGCTTCTTCATTTCACCTGACAAATCGACCTCTTACTCATGAATATCATGTCCTGGGCTGGGGAATGTTACACACTTCCACCTTGATTACTCATTTTTAGGAAGGCATTATACATCTGAACTAATTCAGATGTAGGCAAGTCTAGTGCTTTTAGCAGATTATTCCTGATTTACAATAGTTTATAGAGAGAGAACAGTTATGTTTTGTTCTATTTTGTTTAGTTTTGTTTTAATACAGTTTATTTAGGTAAAATTAACAGTTGTTTTCATGGCTAAAAATGGGAGGGAATCTGTAGTTCACTAGAGCTGAACATATAGCCCTGAATCTTGAGCTGAAGTTTCTAATCATAGGTTACAAATGATGCCTAGTATTTATAGAATTAAATGGAATTTAGGTGCCAAACAGCTATTCTTTTCTCACTCCTGGTGTAACAGACTCCTATTTTTCTCTCATCAGAGCAGAGAGAGGAACTGATAATATGTCAGTCATTAATGAAAAGGTCTTGATAATGAATAATTTACTATTCTTGGAGATGTTTATGAAAATTAAGTCTCACCAAGGGTATAACTCTGCAGCAGCTTGAGTGAATCAGAAAATACACTGCTGTAAGTAGTTTCAAAATTTGGCAAAGAGTGACAAGTACTTACTTTCTCGATGACAGTTTGTTTTAACCTAGCTAAAGGCCATAATTTGTGTTTGTAATTAATATAATTGAGTTAAACAGCACTACATGATGACAGATAGATGGACAAGACAACACCTCCATCACTGGGAAGGTGAAAAGTGATTAAGAATTCGCAAGTCCACACTAAAGATTTCCAAAAATACCTAGTGATTTCGGAGGCCTTGTTTACTAAGCACACCACTTCCAGGAGAATTAGTTGCAGGAAAAATCAAGTTGCGCTTCACTTTTCAGGAAAAGTAGACCCTTGATGATTGGGCCTGTTCAAGATATGTTAAAATGGAACTCCAGTTAGGTGTTGAACATAGCCACATGTTTTCTGAAGCACTTATCTTGGACAGAGTTGGGACAGTTGGCGAGCATCCCCATCTGCCTGCTAGCCAGCAAGGCAGATATGTCTTTGCACTGCCAGATATTGCTGTGTGTCTGCCCAGAAGTGGGAAACTGCAATCCCACGGTGCCCAGAGAAGCAGGGAGGTGGTGATGGAGAAAGTGAGAAGAAGCTCAGGCGTCACCTGGCCTTGCAGGTAGTGCTGTCAGCAGGGACTGAATGCTAGGAGTCAGTTCAAAGCTCAGTGACTTGCTGTGCATGCTGGAGGGGGTAATTCTCCACTGCTGCTGACGCAGTATCAGTCTGCATTTGCACACATCAAGAAACCACAGCCCAACAACAAGCACTAGTAATGCCGCTTCCTGATCCAACCAGGGGTGAGTGATGGTGAGTGAGACTGAAAGGACCCTGTGATTACTGAACTCCCTGCTCTTCCTCTGTGAAGCAGGTCAAATGGTAATGCTGCTCCACTCAACAGGCTCTTAAAAGAACTAGCTGGCCTATTCACAGCCACTCCTCTCTTCCATTGCCCGTAACTTCAGTTTGAACAAATTGCTAGTTGCTCCACAGGCATCTGATCCCTCTTTGCTTACATAGAGCCATTGTTGTAACCATGATTGCAGGCACCCTGCTGTGTTCCTTCTCACCGGTTTCTGCATTGCAATTTTTTTTTTTTTTTCTATGCTGAAACAATAGTTCTCATCCACTTGACTTTAGGTCTTTGCCATTAATTTTCCACCTAACTTTTTTTTTTTCCTTAACATCCTTTCCTTTGCATGACTGTGTTGAAAGTTGGGGGCACAGGAGTCTGTGAGGTGAATGAACAACATTGTATTAAATTGTCACCTCCAAGGCTTTTCTGATGTTGTGCAGCTGTACATGCCATCTAAAGCAATGAGTGTAGGAACAATCGCTTAAAGGGATGACTTGGCAACTCAAATATAGCTGACACTGTCCAATTCAAGCTTCCTAATCCACATGCACCAACATTCACTCACAGCAGTTTACAGACTCTTTCCCATTTCTCTAAAACACATTGCTGTACTATAAACGTGAATTACTTACAACTGTTACTGTTCCTGCCAAAAAATAGAAAACCTCCAGCCAGATTTATTAATGTCATGTGAAGCATCATAAATACACTCAAATTAACTGCATTTCCTTACTGTGCCTGAATAATAACTATTCAGAAATGCTCTAGCTTCATTCTTTTAAACTGTGTTCGCTTCCAGTCATAAGATCATTTAGACTAAAATGTCTCGGATCTGACACATTTTACTTTTGTAGGAATTAAAATTCAAGGCACGACCTTAGAGGGCTCTGAAAATTGCTTCCTGATATCATCTTTAAACCAGCATTCTGTTTTTTTAATCCTGTGGGGAAATATCTAGAATAATGTGACTGTTGAAAACATATGAATAATATGAGTGTCACTTCCATACCCTTTGGCTTGGAAAAGGAAAAGGTTTTGCTTTTTAAAACAGAAGAGTCCAATCTGTCGCAGCTATAATAGTTGGAAAAAGCAGGGGGAAAAAAGCTTCCCTGTAGTGTAAGTAAAGGACAGCCTTATCTTGTCGTCTGTCTTATACAGCAAGAAAACTGTTGTTTAGTTACTGAGCAGGTCTTCAGTCAAGAAAGAACAGATGTTAGGTCTGAAATTAAGAGAACTGTTTCATCCCAGATGAATATGTGGCATCTGCTCCAAATGGAAAAGCCTGAGAGATCAGTAGCAACAACACTAAAAAAGGAAAATATCTCCTTCTTTTTTGTTGTTGTTTTTTTGTTTTGTTTTGTTTTGTTGGGGTTTTTGTTTGTTTGGTTGGTTGGGTTTTTTTTTGCTTCTGGTTTGGTTTGGTTTTGTTTGTTTTTTTTTGTTTTTTTTTTTTTTGTTTGTTTGGTTTTTTTTGTTTGTTTGTTTGGTTGGTTTTTTTGTTTTTGTTTTTGTTTGTTGTGGTTTTTTTGTTTGTTTGTTTGTTTTTTTTTCCTTTCTATCTCTTACATGCACTGACACAAGCTCTGAACAATATCTCAAAAAACTAACTAAGAGTTTTGACAAAGTTGGATGCAATGTGGTTGCTGGATTACCTTCAATGAAAAATTCAGGTATGTTATGGTTAGGGGCTACAGATTCTGCCTAAGGTAACTGGTGAGATTCACTGGGAATATCAAGTCCCTTTGCAGTTCCAGGAATGAACCAGTTTTTTTAGTAGAAGATAAGAGAATAGTTGAACTAAACCCAGAACTGCTGAGATGCCCTGGCAGGGGATGTTAATGCAGAGTATAAACCCTGGGATCTGATTATTGCTGCAGAGATAACTAGTGCTGTTTTTTTTTTGTTTTGTTTTGTTTTGTTTTTTTTTCCTGCCAATATCTCTTTAATTTAAAATATCCATAAGTTCTTCTCAGCAGGTGTAAGACCCCAGGCTTCTCCTTTCCCAGTTTGGTACCCTAGACACTAGGAGGTTTATCCTGACTCCTCACAAAGTCATAAAAAACTGTATTATCCCAACTGTCAACCTGGGATCTGGCAAATACAGTGAGCCAACTACCACTGGGTTTGGCTAGCAGAGAGAATTGTTGTACAAAAAACCCATGAACCTGAACATGACTGAGAAAGCAGATCATGTATTCTTGTAAGTAAGAATATACAGACTCAGATCTGTATAGCATGTATAAAAAGTAAGATCTGTGGGAGAATAAAATCCCTTTTGGTACAGTGTGCGAGATAGTATGTTCTAGTCAGCTTAATTAGAAAGGCTTTTGAACAGCTGACAGAGGTGTCAAAAAGACCATATCTGATGGTGGTGGAGAACTTCAACTTTATGAAAATTTTACAGGAGTAAAATCACTCATCATGTTTTGAAATGTACCAAAACCTTTTTTTGCTTTCCCTTTTTCACCTTTTTTTGCTTTCCTTTTTTCCCCCTAGAAGCTAGAGAAGTCAACTAGAAGAATGACTATTTCATCTTTGTTTCCAGCTAATTAGGAGGAACTGACTGAGGATCTAAAGGTAAATGGTGATCTGGGAGAAAATTGCTGTGAAGAAGAACATTCACTACTCTAAGGAATGGGTGAAAAGGATCTGTAGAGTAAGGCTAGGAAGGAACTTGTTCATTTGATAGGAAAGGAGGTAGTTAGGATCTCTGGGGAAGACAGTCCCATTCAAATCAGTCAGGTGAATTGTTAGATTGTATCACATACTGAGAAGTAAACTTCCCTAATGCAAAGAACAGGTAGGAAGCAAAGTGTAGTAAGAGATGGTTATGGCTGAAGGAAGAGCCCTTAAAAGGTTTGAAAATAACAGTATTTAAAATTTGTACAAAATGTGCAAATAAGTCCAGATGACTAAGAACAAATGTAAATGGAGAAGTTGTGAAACATTGTGAGAAGTGAAAAAAACAGAAAAATGTAACAAGTAAATTATTTCTAGTGAGGGAAAGGAAAAAAACAAGGAAAGAAAATTTGTTACCAGACAGGAAAGAAAATCTTGGCAAAAAACTAGTGACACACAGAAGGCTACAGTGGTGTTTGCTTCCTCTGTAATGCCTCGTTACAAAGGTGACATATGACCCAAAGTCAGAATGAGGCATAACAAAGACAGAGTGAAGAAACAGAGAAAAAGCATTTAAGGAATATTTAAGGAAAACTGGTATAAACAACTTGTTAGTTCAGCTGAAATTCACTCTGCAGTATTTATGGGAGTAGCTGGCTAGTCACAGCATCATTAGTTGGTATCTTTGGAACCACATGCGAGATGAGTGTTAGTGAGAACTGAAGAGAGGAAAACATCTGATCCATCTTTAAAAAGAGAGAAGGATCTCACAGAGAGGTTCAGGTGGCTCAGCCTCACTTGGGCTGTTGGAATGAGGCTCTTAACACATCACTATTACATAAGTATTAATAATAATAATGTGGTAAGAGCCAGCCAGCACAGAATTTTCAAAACAAATCAAATCAAACCATTCTAATTTGTTGTTGTGGGAGGAAGGCGAAGGAGGTGCAGATAGTCTAGATAATTTGCATTGCAGATAACTTTTAAACTTGAATTTTTAAGAGTTTGATACTCTCTCCCTTATATTCCTATCAACCAGCCAGGGAAAAATGTTCTAAATAAAATCATTATATTTGAACAAGTGTTCAGTGAAAAATACTTGTAGAGTACTTTACTGGGAGGTTACAGCAAACTGAAAGGGTACTTTATTCTCTTTGTTTGTGTGTGGAATTTTTATTAGCAAGTGCTAGAATCAAGCACATAGTGATGAAATACTGGGGTGACCTGACAGTGAAATGAAGGTTAAACTGCACAACACCTTACATTGCAAACATGACATGAACAAATAAAGTTACACTGGTGCAGAAGGGGAAAGTATATTTATGTGTGGCATTAATAGCTGTGTTGCATGTCAAAAAAGAAAATCACTAAATATTCTTCTTGACTCAATGTTTATGAGGCCTCAATTGTAGTACTGGGAGACCTCAGTACAGAAAAGGAAATACATTGTCCAGTCCTAATTATCCTCCTTAATATACCCCTTTTAGGGAACCGCCAGTTCTCTAATACTTTTTATGTAGATTGGCCTCCCATAAACCCTAATCTGTCAATTCTCTGAATATATTGAAGTCTGATGTTTTATACTCTGTTTTATCTCTTCTTATTGTTCTTTCTGTATAGTCAAAGGGTTGTGAAACCTGTCATTTCACTGACTCTTAAACTTTCCATTCTTCAATCATTCTACCTTCCTTATTAGAAATAGATCTGATAAAGCCTTTAACTATTTGCTATTTTAAGTTTCTCTGCTGAAAAAAACAACTTCCTCATGCATTCCAAGGATTGGATGGACTGACTTCCTTTTCCAGAAGTCCCCTACAAAGTGAAAGTTTGGATTTTTTATTCAGACCAATGTTTCCTGGCGAGCTTCACCAGTTTACCTCAAGCAGTCTGAGCCAAATGGATTTCACACTTTGATGTCCTCTACAAGATTCCCTCTGTGACAGCCACAATGTTCTTCTTTCTTAATTACTCAGATATTTTCAGCAGTTCTAACCCAGCAGATTTCTATTCTGTATTTATGAATATATAAGAATATAATCAGAACATAAGAATATGTGGCTCCTCAAACAAGTAAAGATGCAGAAATCTGTATCACAAGCTTTAGCCTGGAAGAAAGTGACTGTGAAGAAAGTGAATGTCTCAATTCTTCCATAGTTTCTAGCCTGTCAGCCAAAGCACCATTTTCTTTTATTTGCCATTTGAACTTTTTGTATCTATTTGTAGACGCAGACTGATCTATACTTTACATATCAACACATTCTATTTGAAAACTCTTCTCCAAGTTTTAGCAAGTTTTGTATTCATTATAGGAAGGCAAGCAACATTTGGATTGCTTTTTCAGCAAGAGACACAATACATATATAGAAAAAATTTCCAACTCTATACAGATGAAACATAGGGATGGATTTTGTGAAATATACTTCACTAAGACGTTAAAGAAAATGGGTTAGATGAACATCTGTTGGTAGTCATCTAGATCTATTTGAAAGACTAATATTGTTGTGACATATGAATGCAGAGGTACACAAAGTTCTTGAAGACCATTCCAAAGTGCTGTAAATATAGACATAATTAATGGCTTCATGTCATGCCATCTCAAAAAGTAACCAGCCTGCCTAAAAGCAGAAGACATTGACTCTTCAGCATGAAAAATACTGTAAGAAAAGAGAATCCTTTAACATTCAAAAGAGATTTAACTGTTGTGATAAAGAGATTTCACAAAGGGCAATAAAGAAAATGTGAAATGTCAATACACCAAATAAAATGTTCCTTAGACTATTCACAAGGTCCTGATTGAGTTTGAGCTCATTATGTAAACAGTATCTTCAGCAGAAGGCAGAAGTCTGTACAGAAAATTTAAGTAAAAGAACATTCTACTGTTATTAATAGCTCTAGAGGGCAAGACCAGCATTGTACTTGTATATAAAATTCAAACCTCTCAAAGTTTATGGTTAAAGAATAATGGCTGAAAATGTTTCTCTGGCTTATTTGGAATTTCAATTTTAATATATTGGGAAAAAAAAATCTAAGACATGAAACAAAGATGTTGAAAGACTGCTGTGGATATAGAAATAGAGACTATCTGCTCTTCTCTTGTACTCGCCTATCAACACAGGTGGCAAATATATATCAGTGTATTACGGCAGGATTAACAAATGACTTCTCAGGTTATATGACGCCTTTTTTCCCTCACAATTTGTATAATAAGAATAGGGAGATACCAAAATATTTGGAACTAACTGCAAAGTCAGTATGAATTGTAAAGAACTGTTTTTTTTTTTTTTTTTCAGCTTCTGGACTCATAGCAACTGATCCATTAAAGTAGGACCCTGTTAGCTGATTAAATCTGGCTGAAAATTAGCCTGTTTTCCTTAGCCATTTTTGTCAAGCCCTTTGGTACCAATCCTTGCCATCAGATGTTCTTTTCAGACCAAAAATCACAAGTCTTGAGCATAAAATCTGAATGGCAACCAGAGAATTTAGACTGTCAACTCTTTCTTTTTAGTAACGTGTAACAATATTTATTTGCTTTTATTTGCTCATCTACAAAATGACACTGACTCTTTGGGATTTGGGATGGAAATCATCACGAGCTGAATATGGTCACTAGGCAGAAGCTATACCTTCAGCTAGTGGCTGTTCTCCCAGGTCTATTGAAGCTATGACAATTTGAAACACAATTCTTTATGACTAACATCTTTAGCTCTTTTGTTCTTCTCATTTCTTGGTACTTTGTCTTTCTATTCTAATGTAGTAATGTATAGGCATATATCATACAGACATAAAAGTATATGGGCACATGGTATAGATACATGAAAGATGTACTGATGTACTAATGTACAATGATATTTTGTTTACACAAGTTGGTTATAGAATATCAGATTTGACTTCAGCAGCATTTTACTAATGCTAATTTTACTGCAAGGTTGCAAAGGGTGTGATTGAACATGTTCTTCCATAAGAATGAATTCCACCATCAGGAAGCCACTCATTAATAGGACCATTAGGGGTAGATTATGTTAAATGCATTGGTTATAACTGCATGAAAAGAACTTATTTTATTATTACTTAGCTGGGGATCCTTTGGGGAATACTGAAAGGGAGAAATCCAGTCTTATTTCCTAAGAGTTGCAAAGTATTTTGAAGTCTGTTTACACATGTAAGGGACAAAATATTGGGTTCTAATTGTACATCTATTTTTCTATTCAGCCTTTTGGTTTTCAGAGCCAACATTTAAATCATCTTCTTGATTGCATGGAATAATATATGCACTAAATTTAATGTTAATATTGTTTTCTCTGTTTACTAGGAGGAAATGGCTCCAGATACCTGTCTCATTTTCTCCAGACACATCTGGGAAATTGTATGATTTGTGGAATTGTGCTCAGAGAGTAATAAAGAAGCCTTTGGTTAAAAAGTGTTTTAACTTAGACTTGACAAAGTAAATGAAGTGGTTGTTGTCAAATCAGGTAAGCTGTTTCTGTTTGTTCAGGGGGGTTTTGTTTGTTAGGTTGTTGGTTTTATTTTTTTTAAAGAAACAAGCAAGCATGTAATTTAAAATGGCTTTATTTCTGAGGTGAAGATCAACAACAAAAGCCAAAATGATACCACGCTCACCTCACCACGTGACTGAGAGTTGCTAACTCTAAGAGTAGCTCAGACATTGGAAATTTCTACAGACTCTTACCAAGCATGGCAAAATTCTTGGAAAATCAAATATGCAAGCTTCCTCCAAATAAGGACACTTCAGGTAATACCCATATGCATGCATATCACATGCATTTACATTCTAACCCCTTACCATAAACATTGACCTGCTGGAGTAATATGTGCAAACTCTCATTACAGCTTGTGGTAGCAATACTACTTCAGCAGGTAGTGTCTATAGCCACATACCATGATTCTTTGGTGACAATATGGGAATGATAAAACATGAAGTTCCCTGATGGTTGTGGAGAGTCTACAAAGCAACAGTGACATCCCATATACAAGCACAGCTGGTGGCTTTGTAAATACCAAGAAGGTCTGAGAAGGCTTCTGGAGAGAATACCTCTTAACATGGGTGTAGGAGTAGTTCAAGTACCATCCTCAATAAAAATCAACAAAGAATGTGACAAAGGGTGAACATGGTATTTCTCTCCTGTTGACTGAATAGCTCTGAGTAGACTGTGATCTTGAATGCATTTGTTGTTTGAAATATGAGGTATTTACAAAGAAACAATAAATATTTGCATCTATAAATTCAGGCTGTGATTTCCACTGATGAAACAAACAGCTAACTTAGAGCTCTCTTAGTCAGAATCACAGGTAGATGAAATAAAATCAAAAACAGACTATAGGTGTTTTTACATACTTCAGTTACTATTAGTGGCATTTGTAGTAAACAGAGGAGAACCACTTATTTCAAAATGCACCTGACTTTAACAGTTCTTCCTCTCCTCCCCCTTTCTCTCTGAATACAGGACAGCTGTGTAGATATTAAATGGAAATTTCTTTCTGGATTTCTCCACTGCTGATGTTTTATTTATGTCATTTCACTTTTTTATATTACATCTTGCTTGAATTCATTAGTTTCACAGCAAGCTATACTCAGTAAACTATTTGGAAATAAAGATTCCAACCTATTCCAAATCTATCTATATCACAAAAAAATGAATATTAACTGAAAGTACTTATTGCGTCTTTGCTAATATAACACATCTCATCACCGTCATAGATAATTTGAAGTGATTTGATGCAGTGTAACAGAAGTTGAACATTTCAAGGAAGATCAAGAATATCTTCACAAATTGAGTACAAATGGGTGTAGACTGTGATCCTTAAAGTGAACACTAGCAATTAATGTAGTCCTCATAAAGTGTCACAGCAGATATTATTAGTCACATTAGTCAATATTAGTTTGGATAAGACTAAGTTTATTTGATTTGATGGAAAATGAAAAGGACATAAAATTGCATTTTGAAGGTTTTGACAAACTAGAAGATGCTACAAACATAAAGAATAAAAAGAAATTCCTGAAAGATTACTGAAATAAACAAAAATCAAGAAAAATAGTCTCAAAGCAAGAAAGAGAAGGTTGGAAAGCTAAGAAATCTCAGTGCAACAGGCTATAGGAAATATGATCTGCAGTAATAGGCCATGGTGGTTAGGCAGGCTGACGACTGGGCTAAAAAGATAGTTTTCAGTTACTTTTGAGATTTGTTCAGAGACAAGATTGTTGTTCAGATGGCAGGTGTCCAAGCGCAGCCCTAGAAGAAACCTCAAGATGTCTCATGCAGTCTCAAAAACCTTGTGCCCCAAGCTCAGGTTTACTTAGGAAATACGTAAAATGTTTCCTCTTTATGCAGCACTACTAAGGCTGCAGTTTGATTTCAGCCAGCTGTGGAGTGTAGCACTGGCCATCAAAGATATATGGTTTCAGAAAAGATACAAGAAAAATCACAGGTAGAGCAGAGGAATGGGCAGAGAGGCTTTCCAGTGCTAACTGGCCAACCTTAGTTAAAAACCCACACAATATTTAGTGTTACATAGTCACAGAAATAGATGCTGCCGTAAACCTATGCTTGCAGTCACATGCAATAGATAGGAGATTATTTTATGTGAAAGACTATTTTGATCCACGTTTGAGGTTTAAAACCCATGTGGGAATAAAGAAACAAAGATGGATTTGCAAAATGTTCCTGGTGGCTTTATTGGAAGCTTGCATTTCCTTTCTTATATAAAAGAATATCATACATGCAAAAAAACCCAAATCAAAACAAAACAAAGAAAACCACTCCAATCAGCCGATTCCCTTTATTATCATCCCTTCTTCATTAATAATTTATTTATTTATTTGAGTCCATTAAGTTATTAAGATGACATTAAATATATTATGAATGTTTACTTTGCATGCAGTCTCAGACAGACACCCTGATTCATTCTGTCCAGCACCTTCTTTCTCCCAGCTAACAAAGGACACAGATTTGGGGTTTTTTTGAGAACCTCTGTCTGTCCTGCAGGCACTGCCATGTCCTAGAGGCCCATTTCTCTTGCAACAGTACAGCCAGGGGATGTTGTACAACCCACAGAATCCAGAAACGGCACCAATGAACTGGTGACTTCACAGGAAATGAGGAACTTGTGCTGTTTGTTCTCAGGATGGTTGTATCTGGTCTCCATGCCCGGGCGCTGTCAGGGCACTGCCGGGCGGTCTGTGTGGGGAGAGTCCGGGTCTGCCCCGGGCCGGACACAGCCGGTCCCAGCCGGTCCCAGCCGGTCCCAGGCGGCTCCAACGGCCCCAGCGCAGGACACAGCTGAGCCCCTCAGCCAAGCTGGGGGCGCCGGGGGGAAAACAGGTTTCAGCAAGGGCCAAAGGCGGCCCAGGCAGAGGAGGAGGAAGAAGCCAAGGAGGGAGCAGCAGCAGAGGGACCCCGAGGCCGGAGGAGGAGGAGGGCAGGAGGGGCTGCAGGCCCGGAGCAGGGATCCCCTGCAGCCCTGGAGAGACCCCGCTGGAGCAGAGACCCACCCTGCAGCCCGGGGAGGGCCCCACGCCACAGCGCAGCGGGGGGATATTTCCTGCAGGAGCTGCGGCCGTGGAGAGCCCAGGCGGGAGCAGGTTGTCCCTGAAGGACTGCGGCCCGGGGAAGGGCCCGCGCTGGAGCAGGGAGCCGGGGGGGGAGGGAGGAGCGGCCCAGAGGGGCTGGGATGGGCTGGCCGCGACCCCCGGCCCCTGCGGCCCGCGGGGCAGAGGAGTCGGGAGCGAAGGGGTGAGGCTCAGAATGAGAAAAAGGGGTGGGAGGCAGAGAGAAAGATATTTAGTTTTTTCTCTTTGTTTCTCACTACCCAAGTGACAATAAGTTAAATTACTTGACCACAAGTCATCTGTTTAGCCTGTTATGGTAATTGGTAAATGGTGTCCCTGTCTTCATGTCAATCCATGAGCTTTTCCATCCTATTTTCTCCCCTGTCGTGCTGAGGAGGGGAAGTGAGGGAACAACTGGGTGGGCAGCTGGCCTAAGTCAACCCACTACAACAGTTAATGAAAGTAAAAAGATTTAAGGAACATTAGTTTCCCCAGCATAGTCTGATACACCATTGACACCTTGCAAATTTAGTAGTTATCCTATTAGCATTAATCATGTAAATCACTTGTGATTTCATTATTTTGAATGCTGTCACCACTCACTCTTCCTCTCCTTTTTGATAATAATTGGCAAACCTCAGATATGTTAGCTGAAATGTAAAGTTTGTTGTGAGACTGAAGACATTGAAAGGAAAAATATGCATTCAGGTTTTTCTCTGTAGATTCCCCTATTGATTTTATTCCCTTGCAGATGTGGAAGTCAGCTTTGAAGTGTAGCGTTTTTATGACATAAGATGTTGACTAATACATTTCACAACATGAAAAAAAAAAAAAAAAAAAAAAAACAAAACCAAACAAAACAACAACCAAAAAAAAAAAAAAAACAAAACAAAAAAACCCAAACAAAACAAAACAAAACAAAACAACAACAACAAAAAAAGTAAGCAGTCACTCGGGTAATTTTTCAATAAACTGATTCTTGTCTAAAAAGTGCTTCTTTCAGTGTCTATTCTATAATTATTAAGGGCAGAACAACAACAACAACAACAAAAGAATAAAGCAAACAAATAAACCCCAACCCTTAAAAACCCTACCAAAAACAGAAAATGCAGAGATAAAGAACTAAAGTGCTGATGATGAAATTCAATGTATATGATAGCCACAGGTATGCATAAGATTCAGTTTATTACAGATTGGAGCTAGATTCTGACATTTACACCCATTCTAACATCCATCAGAAATCATAGCAAGGAAATTACTAAATCCTGAGCTAATATCTTAAGGGACATTATGAAATCACCACTGCCATAATAAAAAAAAAAAACTAAGCAGAATCTAAAGATGTCTCCTGTATGAGCAAAATGGTTAGATAACTTGATTCAATAGATATTTAGCCTGTCTAATATTCATCATTAATATTGTTCTTTATATTGTGGTTGTTTTCTCTATGATTATTATTACATTTGCAGTTTTAAGTACAAACCACAGCAGTCATCTACGATATTGCATTAAAAAAGGAATTAATTTCATCTTACTTAATGTATCTCCAGTGCTGATATCATTGTCTGTCATATCTGTTTAGGCTTCTTTTGTAGTAAACACAGAACGAATAAATGGAATTAATGGCATTTCAGGTGTGTTTCATCACATGAAATTTAAGTAAATAGTACGTACTTTATGATAAGGAAACTGTGTTCTGAAGTTCCCTTCTTAATTTTACAAGCTCTCTGTATTGACTGGAGAGGCTTGGAATGAAATGCTCAAATATATTTTGTGTTGAGATATTGAATGTTCTCATGATCATCTGTGAGTTTCAAGCATAATTTTTACAATGTCTTTGGACAAGTACAGAACTGATTTACATGTAGTTGCTACTTGTTTCCTCTTCTTTACAGGGTATCTGTAGAGGCAGCAGTTGGTTTCAGTTCTCCAAGCTATGTCTTACCCAAATAAAATGTCTGGATTAAAGTAATTTTTCAGTGTCAAGGTTCCAAAAGTGACCTTCTGTGTCTAGGAAAAGGATGACTGATCTCCCTTGTGTTAGCCTTCAAAGCTAAAAAAGAAATGTCAGAATAAAACTCATAAAACTCAAAAAGGTTACTGCAAAAATCAGTTAGTTTTTCTTCATATTCTTCCTCTTTCAATCTAAGTATTAAAGAATCAGAGAGAGCTTGTTTTACCTTGTAAGCTGTAATCTTAACCTATCAACTAAAAAAATCTTTGT